AGGGGTTGTGGGGGAGTGGTCTTCTTTGCAGAGATGAATTTTGGTTGACTGGATGTAGAGGGCTGGGAAGAGTTTGCAGAATGTTGAGCAGTGGAAATGGGGTGGGGAGAACTTTTTTACTGGGAGAAGATTTTGATTTGCCTTGATTGTCTAATTTTTGTTTAAGAGATTTCATTTTCTCCGTTTTTTTCAAAGCCAAGATCATATTTCCTTTGAAGCTCATTTGGGGACGGTAATGAGGCCGGGGCGTCGCCCTTACTGTTGACAGAGGTAGTGGGACTGTCAGTGCCTTTAGTCCTAGGGGCTTCAGGGGACTGAAGACCCGCTGTCTGACGCTTCCCTCTGGCCCTGCCAGCCACCTGCCATTCCCCCTCTCCCTTCTCCTCAACTACACTTGCAGTGGAAGAAAGCTCTTCGGGGAATGGGGGCTTTGGTGATGGCGCAACCGGGGGTAAGACCACTCCGGTCCCAGTAGCCGGCATGCCCATTACAGGCGAGGCGGTATTTAAAAACTCGGTTAGAGGGGTAGTTTGGTCGACTGGGGCCTGACTTCCAGAGGCTTTCTTCTCTGGACAGGAAGAGGAGAGGTGACCAGTCTCTCCGCACTTCCAACAGACTGGTTTACGGCCGGTCACGAAGACCGGCAGCTTCAGGCCACCAACGTCAAGACAGTTGGGGATGGAGCCGAAGGCCTTTCGATCTAGCATGATGTCGAAGCTCCATCCCCCACTCAGGGTATCACAGGAAGCACGCAGAATTTCGCCGTACTGGGACAAGAAAGCCGCCAGATACTCTGAGGAGGGACCTCATATACTGCTACATGTCCTTCGCCGGCCCTCGTACTCTGTACGGAGAATTAAATCCTTCGTGATAAATTCTCTACTTGAAGCTTGTATGCAGTCTTCGGCAGTATGTAGCAGCACTTCCCACATGAAAAAGCCCCTGCCTTTAACTATTCGAAGTGGCTTAATCCCCAGGGAATCCAGTGTTTTCACCAGTGTGTCTTTCGTCGAACGACAAATTTTGCGCGAACGCTTGTCGACAACAAAAACGGACACTATTCTTTTCTCGATTTTCTCAAGTTCGATTGGATCCTCCAAGAGCTCATCTTCTACCACAAGGTGTACGTAACTCTTGGCACGCTCCAAGAACTCCGCAATATCGATAATGCATTTAGGTGGGGACTTCCAACAAGAGGGCGATTCCCCGGCCTCTGCATTATCACTTGAGTTGTTTTTTTTCTTGATCACTGGCATCTACATTATTGCTTTTTTCGGCTTCCGTAGATTTAGAGGCTTTTTTTAAGACTTCAAGGATTTCCTCATTTGAAGGAATACTGGCTAAAGCTGGATAATCGTTAATATTATCCTTGTCAGGTGTATCTTTTTTCGGATTAAAAAATATGTATCTTCACCGATCTCCTGAAAGAAGCCATTTTAGGCTTCTTTTTTACAAATAAAAAAGGTGCTTTTTTCCCTTCTTTTCCATTTTTAAAGGGAGGGGGAGGGGTGAAAAAGGAATAAAATAAATTCCGCAACAGAAAAAAAGACAATATAAAATATAAAAAAAAGGTTCGCCTGAAAAGCGAGACAGCAAAAAAAAATAGACAATTACAGAATCAAATGACGAACAAATCAAACAAAAAAATAAAAGAACAAAGTTCGCCTAGAGGCGAAACAATAAATTTACAAACACAAAAACACAAAAAAACCCGAAAAAGCTAGACAAAGAAAATACGAAACAATAAATTTAAGAAAGAAAACACAAAGAAGAAAATAAACAATAAAACGAAAACACTAGACAAAGAAAAAGGAAAATACGAAACTTACAACAATAGACTGAGCTAAACACGAAGCAAAATGGCTGACGCTACGAAAGCGAGTCAACCCGATAAAGAAATAAACAAAAGAAAATAGACAAATTAGACAATACAAGAATTAGAACAAATATGGCACAAAAGGATATTAAAAGGAAAGAAACAAATAAAGAAATAACACGTAAACAAAAATATGATGAAATGAAAGTCAGTTGTAAAAAATAAAGGAAAAAACTAGCAGGTGTTACAAAAAATATAAAAACGAAAAATATATTTAAAAAACGTAACAAAGAAAAATTAAAAAAAAAAACAAAAAATGAACATCAAAAAGGAAGACTAAAATTAAAAAAAAAAAAATAAAAAAAATAAAGGGGGTAAAAATAAAAAAATGGGGAGGGTAAAAAAAAGGAAAAGAAAAATCAAAATCTTTTTTCAAAACAGTCGTAAAAAACACAAAAAGGTAGTAATAAATCAAACTCAACTACAAATGGTGTTCAACAAAAAAGCGTAAAGGCCCCCAAAAAAACAACAACAACAAAAAAAAAAAAACAGTGGGGCGGCAAACACCACTCAGAAAGAGTCCACCCAATATTTTAAGGGCCCACTGATCAAGTCGCGTCGAAGTTTCGTTTTATTAGTTCTCTTGGTCACGTGGGTGGATCGTGAACATGTTTACATTTTGTAATTAATATTTTACAACCAATCAGAATGCATAAGTTGTTGTACTTGGTTGGGAGCCTCTATGCGTTTAACTTGCACAAAATATGAGATTTTAAAAAATGTAGGAATCTGATTCTACAATACCCCCCACTCAGATTGTGAAAGTTTTTGAGAGAAAATTTTCTCAATATGTAATGTACGCTTTAAATCTACTAGGCCAATGAATATGTCTGCCAGACTTGGTAGTAACTTCCGCGGGTGGTACTGAAGGTGTAAGCTGCGCTGGCTGGGTCGAAGATGTTAGCTCTGGGTCAGGAAGCGATTTATGAGATAAATCGATGTAAGCCGGTTTCAACTGGTCAACTGACACTGTGTTAGGCTTTCCATACAAAAGTAAAGTAAAATGCTTGGACGTTCTATTAATTACTTTATGTGGACAAGAATACGTGTGGGTCAAGGGTCTTCTAACTGCATCTTTTCGCAGGAAGACGTAATCACAACTGTCTTAATTTTTTGGCGTAAAGAACTCCCCTGTTTAGGTACGCGTTGGAGTAAAGGCTAGGTTTTCCATTTTTTGTTTAAAATCCTGGACAAAATTGGTAGTCGGCCTGGAAGGGACATGCTTTTCCACGAACTGTCCAAGGAGTGTTAGCGTACTCCCAAAAACAAGTTCTGCTGTAGTGCATCCTAAGTCCTCTTTGACTACATTTCTTAATGACAGTAAAATCAGTGGTAGTTTCTGGAGTCATCACTTGCTGCTAGTGCTCTCTTAAGTTTCCTATGAAATCATTCCCCAAGGCCGTTTGCACATGGATGGTAGGCGGTTGTAGAAATGTGCTTCACGCCTAATAATTTTATAAATTCATTGAAAAGGACTGACTGGAACTGGGAACCTCTATCAGTGGTTATTATTGAAGGACAACCAAAGATAGAGATCCACTCTCTAAGAATGCACCTGAAAATCGTTTCCGCCGAAGTACTTTTTGAAGGAACGGCTACACGCCAACGAGTATTATTGTTAATAAGTATTGGTACCCATCAATGTCGGGCAAAGGGCCCACTAGATCAACGTGAATGTGGGTGAACCTTCCATCAGGCTTAGAGAATGTACCAGGCGGATACTTGGTATGCCGTTGTACTTTAGTTTGCTGGCATTTTAAACAAGTCTGTGTCCAGTACTTTTGTGTCATTGGACATTTGGCCAAACGAAACGATCACTAATCATCTTAGTAGTCGCTCTTCGACCAGGGTGCGACAGAGAATGGAAATGTTCGAATACTTTCTTTTTCGCAAAGAAGGTGGTACATAGGGCCTAGAGTATCCTGTGCTTACATCACAATATACAGTAGTGTTACTAAATGGCGCAGGGTGTTGCTTTAACAGTAGTGACGTTTTTTCTTTAACTGATTCCAAAGTAGTGTCATTCTTTTGTTCTTTCGCTAAGGAGTCGAAGTTCAACGGATGTGCGTCGATTGTCTGTATCGTTGATCGCGATAAGGTATCAGCTACTACATTGTCAGCCTATTTTACATAATCCAATTGTCAGATATCCCTTGGGGTATATTTGTACGACTTGGTGCGGAGAGCATAAATTAATGGTTTATGATCTGTATAGACCATAAAATTCCGTCCTTCCAAAAGATGACGAAAATGACGGATTGCCAAGTATATTGCCAGTAATTCCGACAAAAATGCACTGTACTTTTTTGAGCTGAGTTTAGCTTGACCAAAAAGAACAAAATAGGTTTTTTAGCATCTCCCTGTTCCTGGTGAAGCACAGCCCCTATTGAGTCGCCTCATGCGTCTGTTGTCAGAATGATCGTTGAGTCATAATCGGTTATATACGATAAGTTGGCAAGGGCGTCTTTGGCTCTGTGAAAAGCAGTCAGTGATTCACCTTTCAATGTAATCTTCGAGTTCTGACACTGTTGTTGCAGTAAATCTGTGAGGGGAATCAGAATCTGGAAACAACCAGGAATGAACCTCCGGTAGTAATTAATGAGGCCTAAGAATCGGCGTAACTACCGGAGTGAAGATGGTTGTGAGAAATTTGAAATAGATTCTATTTTCTCAGGTAAGGGCATTATTCACTTTTCATCAATGACGTGCCCCAAAAATTTAAGTGAGGGTACAGCAAAAATACATTTCTCTGCGTTAATCTTAAGGCCAAAATGCTGTAGACGTTGGAAAACTTGCTCAATGTGATGACGATGTTCGGTCTTGTTTCTATTTGCGATCAGGACGTCATCAATATAGGCAAAGGTGAAAGGTAAACCTCTCAGCACTTCGTCTATAAGCCGTTGGAAAGAATTTGCGGCGTTCCTTAAACCAAATGGTATTCTCACAAACTCGTATAAACGAAAAGGAGTAGTTATCACTGTTTTATGGATGTCCCCCTTGGCCACTGGTATCTGGTGGAATGCTTTCATTAGATCAAGTTTAGTGAAGACTGTGGCGCCCTGCAGACCCACTGCGAAATCGTGCAAGTGCGGGATTGGGTATTTATCCGGAATTGTAGTAGCTTTCAGCTTCCGGAAGTCGCCACAAGTACTTCAAGCTCCTGAGTCCTGTTTTGGAACCATATGAAGAGGAGATGAGTAGGACTCGTAGGAGGTCTAATTATACCGAGGTACAGCATGTGCTGAAACTCAGCTTTCGCCAGCTTATATTTATCAGGCCTCAATCGCCGTGGAGATGAATACATGGGTGGGTCCGTAATATAAATATTGTGCTCAGCATTGTGACGAATGGTTTCTGCATAACGGAATGGTGTTGTAATTTGAGAATATTTTTGTAAGAGATCCTGCATTCCGTTGGCTTCAGGTAGAGTTGCGCTGATACATGTGCTCGTATAGATAGATGTAATTCCTTTCCTGGTAGTGTTGGTCGTTTTATCCTCCAAAGAAAGGGAAGACATATTAACGGACAAGTTAAAGTGGGCGAGGAAATCCGCTCCTAGGATCGGGGTTCGAACTTGGGCTATCGTGAATACCCACGGAAAAGATCGCTTAAATCCCAGATTTAGGGTTAACGAGGTTTCACCATATGTCTGGTTTGAAGATCCATTCGCCGCTTGTAACGTATAATCTGTCTTTCTAGTCAACATGTTAGGCTTGGCTGGTATTACACTAATTTTGTTTTAAGCATTTCACCCCTAGCAAGGCGGGAAGCCACTAGCACGCAAGGGGTTATAGAGGATTTGGAGAGAGAGCAGGTAGGAATGATAGAGGAAAGGATGAGGAGAAGGATAGTGGATAAATTAAGGCAACTGGAGATGTCGATTGACATTACATTTGAATAGTGGGAGATTAAAGTTATCAGGGAAACAGGAGTAGGGAAGGGAGTTCCACGGGCGAGAGGTGCGAGATATGAAGCTATTGGTGTAGAAGAGGCGGCTACATTTAACAGTTTCAATAGTGAAAGGATGAGAGCGGGATGCTTGAATTCGCGAAGTCTGGGAACCAGCGAAAGTTCATCGGAGCAGTTACCATGAAAGTATTTGTAAAAATGACAGAGAGAGGCGACGGCACGTCTGTGAGAGAGCAACTGCAGCTGAGATGCCAGATCGGGGCCAATTATTTTGCATATCCGTCTCTAGATCTTATCAAGAACCTCGAGGCAAACAGTAGGGGCTCCAGACCATATATGGCAGCAATACTCCATCCAAGGTCGAATGGTTGACTTGTAGATTTGAAGAATCGATTCCGGGCACAGGGAGCCAACATTTCTTGCGGTGGACGAATCAATTGACTCAATGTATTTGTTCCATCTCAGGTAAGCATTGTGCCCCAGTGTCCACTAAAAACAAGTAGCCGGTGTTCTCATCTCGGATGTAAAAGAGACGAATTTTTGGCATTCCTCCGGTAACAAGCGTCTCTACTTGTTGCCGGTATAATCGTTTCCCGACTGCTGTGTGTTGTTATCCTTAGCTGCGTTTATGTCGAAGTTACACGGTTTCGTACAATGCCGCGCCTGTCATCCATATTTAAAATGATACCAAAAGGTATTAAATATAGGCCTGCTTCTGGATATGGAACGTGATCTTCGCCTAGTATGATGTGATGGACGTGACTGCCTAGTGAAATTGGTGGGTGTGCGATTTTGCTGATGCATAGCGGTTTGTAGAACTTGTAACTGTAGGGCATCTCGGCTATACAATCTTTAATTCTCGATAACTCTTGTGAGTCACTGACTGAAGAGACAATAGGTTGTAAAGGTGTCGCAGAAGCAGTTCCCGGAGGTTTATTCTCATATATTTTGTCCGCTATTTCTGCCAATCGCTGTAGGTCAAAAATCGTCCGGGAGTGACACTAATATTTGCGACGTTTGTGGGCTCAGCTTATCCATCCATAGTTTACGGAGGACTGTGTCAGACATGGTATTGTCACCTAGCAAGACTTTCATTTTTCTAAGCAATTGGGAAGGTTTATAGTGACCCAAATGAAGATTATTAAACAAGTCGTGCAACCGACGTTACTCTTATTCGCCCGTGTGATATAGTATAGGTTCTCTTGCTCACGTGGGTGGATCGTGAACATGTTTACATTTTGTGGCGTCAATTAGAGGTCAAAATCTGTGTCGGTACATTCGGACGTAGTTGATGACACCTAATTAATATTTTTCAACAAATCAGAATGTATGCTTGGTTGGGAGCCTCTATGTGTTTAACTTGTACAAAATCTGAGATTTAAAAAAATGTAGGAATCTGATTCTACAAAGGAAACCGATTGAAAAAAAACGAGTAAATACAACAACGAAAAAAAAACAGAAACGAAAAAGGGTAATTACGACAAAAAATGCGAGTAAAGAAAAGGAAAGATTACGTGTAAGAATATTTTTTGTAATAAAATAAATCTACTCGAAAGACCAGTAAAACGCAAAAATGAAGTCGTTGAATATGCAAATGAATGCAATAAAAAATAATTTGAAAGGAAATTTTAAAAATTAAAAAATAAGAACTTCAAATAGAAATTGAATAAGAAAAATTTAATTTAAGCTAAAGTAAAAATGATATTTTTGTAGAATTATATTGGGTTTCGTTTTCGGGTTCTTTCTTAACTAAGTGAAACTAAAAAAAAATACTTAATTGAAGTATGACCCATACTAAAATAAATACATAAAAATAAAAATATTTAGTGAAATAGGAATTTAAAAAAAGAAAAAAAATATTTTAAATTTTTGAAGAGATGAATTGCAAAATCTGTTGAGACGTAAACACGACGAAACATAGAAATGAATAATGAAAAAATTGCAGACTAACAGATTTTTTAGGGAAGACTCCCATACTTAAGAAAATGGAAATGTAGAAACATTAAGAAAATTATTTTAAAAATCTTGTTACAAAATGACTTTTACTAAGTTTTTCAACTTTTGATTTATAAATATAGTTTTCACAATATCACCTAACCGGGTTAAAGAAATGCAGAATTTTAAACGATTTAAATTATTATAATTATAATTTAAAAGAAATGAAAATAATTCTTGTAAAAGTTTATTATTCACCGAAAAAAATGTTTTTTCTTAAGACAATAGTGTCCTTAATAAATCTTATTTATGAAATCAATTAAAAGCTTTTCTAATTAAATAATGACAGTTTTATTTCATTTTTTATTTTACGATTTGGAACAGATTTTCGAGAAATGTGTAGTAATCTGAAAAAAAATTGATTTACATTCTCCAATTTCGAACGTGCCAGAAATTATTAAAAATTTAATAAAATATAAAAAAAAATACTTTCGTCTTTCCTCTTAATGCTAACGTAAACATTTTACCGATAAAACTTTGTTTTATTCAATTTTGGGCCTTTCTTCATTATGCGATACTGTTTTTTGTTTTTTTGTTTTTCAGCGATAAAGTGGAGGTGCTTATATAAAATGTTAAATACATTATTGACCAATTTTACGTTAACATCGAGGAATGAAATTATCGTATTAACACTAAATTCGTATAGGAATTTTAGTACAAAGATTTTTCAAAGGTGAATTTTCAATTTCTACTTTATTGTTGATATGAAAATGTCGACGTACCTTGTATAGATTTGTTGTTCGGTTGTTTTCTTGAACACGCTGTTTCCAACGTGTGTATAATAAAATTTGAAGACGGCGAGACCTAAGACTTTGCCCATACTAATGCTGCTAGTTTAAGGGTAGATATTATCGCTATCCTCGTCGTAGTTTTTTTTTTTCATATTTTTAAAGAAACCTTAAAAAAGAGGAAAGAAAAACAAAAAGTTTACATTACCGTAAAGTGGTAACGTCATAATGCAATAACAATTAACAAAGGAAAGCAGCTTGTAGGGGTGTGTGCTAGCTACCTCGGCCGAGTTTTAGTTAGGAGAGTCGATGTAGGGCTCTTAGGGTGTCCAAGTTTCCATTGCATAGTTTATTCGGATCATAGGCTTGTCCGGGTCCGTGTAAACTTAGATTAGGCTAAGGTTAGGATGGCTGGCTACTGGAAATTCAACTGCTCGTTATTTGGTGAGCAGAAATTATGAATGCATCACGGCGGCATATCGCGTGCGTCACATCGCGTGCGTCACATTGCCGGATAAGCGGACCGTGACTACAAACTCGGGAATATGTGAGGCTTTTCGAGATTACTTTCGGGATCTTTTCACCAGGGAGCCCGGTCTGAGCCCTGCTCAGTTCGACGCCTATTTAGCCGACTTTCCCTGCCTTGAAGCAGCTGAAGCGGCTGGGTGCGAGGGTCCCATCACAGAGTCGGAAATCTGGGAAGCGTTGAATCAAGTTGGCCTGGATAAATCTCCGGGATTAGATGGTCTTCCCAACGAAGTCTACTTGAGTTTTTGTTCTCTTGCTGGAACTGATTTTCAACCACTGGATGAAGCAGGGGTCTATACATCAACGCTTCACCCGGGGTGTGATCAAATTGCTACGTAAGGACAAAAACGGTGGGGATGCGATACGTAATTTTCGCCCTTTAACTAAAAAACTTAACTTAAAAAACTAAAAGATCTTAGCCAACCATTTGCAGCTTGTCTTGTCTCGTCTGATTGGCTCCGAACAGACTTGTGCTGTGAAGGGCAGGATTATTCAGGACAACCTTCATATGGTACGCTTGATCATAGAGAAAGTCGTCAGTGAAGCCGCGTTGATCAATTTGGATCAGTCCAAGGTCTTTGATAGGGTTGACCATCGATTCCTGGAGGCTGTTCTTTCGGCTGCCGGTTTCGGGCCGGACTGTCGCTCCTAGATCCATCTTCTGCCGGTGCGCTGGTGGAAGTGAACGGGTAAGACCGGAATTTTTCGTATTGTCTCGATCAGTTCGTCATGGTTGTCCGCTTTCGCCTATGCTTTACGTTCTTGCGTTGGATCCTTTCTTTCGCAAGTTGAAGGCGAATCCGTTCCTACGCGGAATTTCCCTACCTGGTGCTACCACCTCAACTAGGTATTCTGCCTATGCTGACGACGTTTCGGTTCTTGTGTCGAGTAGAGCCGAGATTAACGAAGTCAGCAAAGAAATCAGTGTTTATAATAAGATGGTGACAGTGACCAAGATCAACCGCGGTTAGGTGCGTGGAAGGGAGTTTCTCTTCCCGGTCCTTTCCACTGGATCAAGATACTCGGCGTTTGGTTCGGTCCTGATATCCAGTTGGAAATGAATTGGTCGGAGGTACAAGGGAAAGCCGAAATCGCAATTAATTTGTGGTCTCGGAGGAATCTGCCCTTGAAGGGGAGGGCGGAAGTATGTCTACTCGATTCTCCTTTACCGACTCTCTGCACTTACACTTCCGTATACCACGCTAATGTCATTAGTAAGGCTCTTGTTTTCTTTCTTGTGGAGAGATAAAGCCGCTATGGTATGTCGGGAGATCTGTTGCCTTCATCCATCTGAAGGCGGTCTAGATATGCCTAGCATTGAGATTCGTCTTCCTAGATCGTTTGTGTCACTAATCGGATGAGGAGGGCGCCTTCTGGAAGGAAGACGCCCAGAGAAATTTCCCATCCTTGAGAAGTGTGCACTCGTGCACCGTTTAGCCCGAGCCGAATGCTCCTTCTACCGTGAATGTCGTCTTGCTGTGAAACGCCTCCTACGGGCGTCGGATGGCCTCTCCAACGTCCAGGCGTTGTCTCGTAGGGCATTATA